CTAAAAAAATGGCATGTTCCATGTTGTGTTCATCAGGACCCCACTCTCAAAATTCTTCAGCCAATGCCCAGTGTTGAGAATATCTAATGAACATAGGGATCAATTGCATTCAACAAAACTTTTCCCATCCCTGAGTTTGTCCCAGAGAACAGTGGAGCAATAGAACTGCAAAAATGACATATCAAACCAATTAACAGAAAGATTTATCACTGTATCAAAATAACATTATATTTGGAAAAAATATTTTTCCAAAGCATAAATATATGTATTAATTCTTTCTAATTATTATGTAAGTCTCTTTATAAGAGTTCAAAAAGTATGAAGCCATATAAAGTATAAAATAGAAGTTAATCCCCCATGTAATTATATATGTAGAGATGATGATTGTTAAGAGTTAGATATACATATACTCTAATATATAATATATAAGATATACTATCTTTTAACTTATTTTTTCAGTTATGAACATATTCTACTGGTAATGAGCTAATATTTCAAAATCTCTTAAAACAATACCTTGCACATGGTAACCACTATACAAATACTTATTAAATAAAAGAAACAAATAATAAGAACAACAGATAATTATATAGTGTTTACTGTGGCCTATATGTGCTTAATAATCATAACCTAAGAGGTAGGTGCTGCTTTTATCTCTATTTTAGAAATGAGGAAACTGAAGCTCAGAGATGGGAAACAGGCCTAAGTCACATATATGGTGGATGTTTTTAGAAGTTAATACATATAGATCCATCTCATTCTTTTTAATGGCTGTGTGGAATTTCAGCACATATTAAATGGTCTCTTACTGATGCAACTTTAAGTTCTTTTAAATATTTTACAAGTATAAGCAACTTTATAATAATTTATCCTCAACATATACTTGTGTAAATATTTCTTTAGGTAAATTGTATGGAATCAATTTTTATGTTTGTTGCTCCAGCTGCAGATACTCAGTCTGTGCTGGTACTATTAAAGTCAATATCAGATGCATGGAAGGTCTAGTCCTAAGTAGTGAATTTTCATTCAAAGACCTTTTTTTTTTTCTCCCTTACAACTAGAATCCAGGTAAAGACAGACAAGCCTTTGCATTGTCATTTTGTGCCCATGGATGGAATTTTTCTGGCCAATCTTTTTTCTGTGGTTCTCAGCTTTAACAAGGGTCTCAATGTTGACCTCTACTTCACGTGGGCCAAATACCTTTTCTCCTGTCCCTTTAAGGGTCTTCAAGCTAGTCTCCTACAGAGATGGGCACCTCTCCTATTACCTTTAGGACAGTGGGGAACCAGCTCATGAGCTTACTGTTGTGTTTTTTCAATTCCTATTTATTTCTGACTTCTAGAGATTTACATTTCATTCTTATGAGTTATACAACTAACCCAGCAATTCTGGGTATTTTTAGTAGGAATATTTTTATATTATCTTGTCTGTCATATGCTGGAGCTATAGTGTTTAATCCTGGGTTTAAATCCTAGGATATTTGGTATTTGGATATTTAATCCTAGTTATATTTGGTCCATAAAGATTCTATGATTCATTGCTTCAATTTCTCTCTTGCAATATTCTCAAATACTTTGCCCGGTTTTCTTGCCTGGCAAATCTCCAACACTTTATGGCTTGTCTTTGAATTTAGCTTTCTACTTTTTCTGAACTTATACCCGTACAGCAGAGCAACACTGGGGGGAAAACCCTGCGACCATGCAGATCGGTGCATAGGTGACTCATAGTCACTGTCCCATTCTCTACTAAAGCTTAACATGGCCCCACAATCTTAGCTTCCTTTGTGAGTCATCACTCCCATCCCACAGCTATTTTAAAATCTTTCCCCGTCCCCACCCCCTCCCCTGGCCCACGTACAAAAGTATTTTCAAAAGATAACCTTAATTTCTACTTCTTAGAGGAAATAGAGACCACAAGAACAGAGTTTTCTCAAATTCCATTTCCCAAACTTTGAACTGATTAATACTGGAAAAAGCTCCTCTTCTTTCTTCCTGTTACAAGGAAGGATGTTCTCTCTTCCTGTCTAAGGAGAGTGATCATATAATTTATCATAGAAGCCTGGATACTTCTGAAAGTGAAAGAGAGACTCTATTAATAATTATTCCAGGACAACAGGTGTAAACCAGAACTGTCCTGGGAAAACTGGGACATGTGGTCATCTCCCGTATAAAGTGTATGGTTCCACTTGGCCGCTGGATACAACCCTAGAGCATTCTCAAGCACCACATTCCCTTGGACATTTCCCTCCCTCCTGCATGTTCAGATTTTCCTTTCCTTCTCTCTGGGGTCCTTCTCATTAATACTTTAACATTTTCAACTTTTTAAAAAAAATTTCAATCTTTTTAAAAGAGAAATCTTGCAAAATAACACTACCTACATGCCATATATACCTCCAGCTACAGCTCCCCTTTTTAACTGCTCCCCTTTCTCTGCCAAATTTATTGAAAACTTGTCTACACCCACTGTCTCTTTTTTTCAGCTCCAACTCTTTCATTTGTAGAATTCAGGCTTCTTCCCTCACTCCATTTCTGATACTTCTCTTGACAATGTCACCTAGGACTTTCTTGTTCTTTAATAGAATACACAGTATTCAGCCTTATTCAATTCCTTAAACACTGCTAACTGTGTGGCTTTGTGTAAGTTAACTATTCTCTCTGTTCCTCAGTTTCCTAAAATGGCACAATATGGGACCTTCCTCACAGACTGTTAGTGAGGATTAAACAAGATAATCTAGGGTAAGCCTTTAGCATCAATGGCACATTTTAAAATGTTAGCTATCCCATTGCACACCCTTTTAGAAAGACATCCATGCTGATGGCTTTTGAGCAGGAGGGGCTATCTGAAAAGAAATTGGTAGGACACAAGACAGGAAGGACACAAGACAGGAAGAAGATACAGGAGACTATGGCTGCCATTTAGAGAAGATGGATGTCTGAGAAGGAGGTTGAGAGAGGAAGATACTAGTTTGAATAAAAGGAGGGAAGAATTCGAGGACTGGTTAGCTGGTAAAAGCTGTAGGAATTATAATGGGTTGAATATTGATGTGGGTGTGGGGTGAGAGATGGGGAGAGGTGGAGATTAGGTAGACCTGGGTTTCTCGTTTGAGTGCAGTAGAGGTGGGGCTATATTGGAAGGCTAGATTTTTTTTTTTTAACTCTTCGTGATATTTTATACAAATGGGTAGCATTAATTCTACTTCATTCCTCAGATAGTTCAAGGAAACACTGAATCTCAGTAGGTAGATATTCAATGAGTCTGAATGTGTGCCTGAGTGTTTTGTGTGTTTATTTAGCTTTTACTGAATAAGTCATATCAACTGGTTGTTGCATACTGAGCTTTTAATAGCACTGGTAATTTAGAATATATTAAATTATAACAACCATGCTAAAAAATACATCTTTTTCTGACAGCCACTATTCCCACCAAACTCATTCTTTTCCATGAGAAGTTAATGGAAATTTAATGAGTAATTGATACAATGACATAAGAAAAATATTACCTCAATCAGAGGCAAATGTGGGAAATGAGATCATTAAAGCTGTGAAAGGAAGGTCCATCTAGGAAATAAAAACAATCTTTAAGTAGCTACTAGAAAATTATATGCAT